CAGAGCCGGTCTGGACGCAGAGGCTAGAGGAAAAATCCTCTGCCCCCGTCGGGGATCGAACCCCGGCCGTCCAGCCCGTAGCTAGTCACTATACTGACTGAGCTATCCCGGCTCATTGACATCAATAGTACTGCCTTTAATATTATCTTGGAGTAGAAAAGAGAATTGTCCTCTCTACATCTTGTTTAGTGTCCTGTAAAATACAGAGTATCCCAAAAATATGTATGCACATTATAATATGGATTATTAGCCTTGTTATTCATCTTCATGTGTTATGTTTATGAGGGGAGTCTAGTGTGGTCTACACTTAACAGATGATACCATGATTCATATACACAAATGGTGGAGGGTTGATTGAGTTTCAAGCAATGAAAATTCATTGATTGTCTGTATATATCTTTTTGGGACAGCCTGTATCATGAACTGATGTAAGCAATACTCCTGAAGTATCTGCAGTTTTCTTTGCTGGATCAAAGATATTTTGAATTCTTCCTAGATCATCAATTATCTTGGAGTAGAAAAGAGAATTGTCCTCTCTACATCTTGTTTAGTGTCCTGTAAAATACAGAGTATCCCAAAATGATGTATGCACATTATAATATGGATTATTAGCCTTGTTATTCATCTTCATGTGTTATGTTTATGAGGGGAGTCTAGTGTGGTCTACACTTAACAGATGATACCATGATTCATATACACAAATGGTGGAGGGTTGATTGAGTTTCAAGCAATGAAAATTCATTGATTGTCTGTATATATCTTTTTGGGACAGCCTGTATCATGAACTGATGTAAGCAATACTCCTGAAGTATCTGCAGTTTTCTTTGCTGGATCAAAGATATTTTGAATTCTTCCTAGATCATCAGACCTAAAGTAGTCATAAAAATTCTTTACAGTTGATTTACTTTGTCTTCGCCATATTACGCTTGTATCTAACACATGCACACTTTATTTTAGTGAGCGCACAACTTCTGAGAAACAATTTGTTGATTCTCTTTCAGGTTTGAATGACAAGCGCACACAAGCCGCCATCTTCCGTCGCCTGGATTTGTTACCAGAAGAAGAGCAGTCTGTGATATTAACTAAATTCCGAGGAGTAGAGACCTCAAGTCTCCGTGAGCAGAATGAGTTTCTCATGATGCTGCTAAGAGCACACTATGAAGGAAAGCAAGCTCGCCACACTCAGCGAGTTCCTTAATCAGTACCTGGGAGGGAGTACCATCTTCATGAAGGCCAAACGTTCCCTCAGCTGCTGAAGCGCAAGGGCTCACGAGATGATTTTGGACCAGTTGTGAAGGAATTGAGTCTGCCAATGAATGCTGCACTGTGTAAGGTAAAATAGCATGTTACTGGATCAGTACCTGAAACTTAAAATTCTGCCGTATTGCTTCTTTCAAGTACTTCAAAATAATTTTGCTCATGTTTCGTCATGCTGTTACTATCGTAGTCTCTTCTTATGATGGGGTGAGACTTTGTCTCTGTGGAACTGTGGCTGCTAATGGGCCCATTCTCCATCCCCCAGATGATACATGAGTGAATATGGAACTTGATTAAAGTGAAGGACTTAGACGGAAACTTGTCTCAGTGCCACTTTGTGCACCACAAATTCCACACGGACTGCCCTGACATAACCCAAGGCATCCAAGGTGAGATGCTGTTGCAATAAAAAACTACAGTTAGAAATGAGAGCTGCACTCTGTGTTGAGAACAAACTAACGTCCCATTTTACAAATGTTAATGAATGAAATTCTATTTTTACGCAATTAAAAATCAGTATCACTTTTTCAGTTTGTGTAATGATTTTTTATTACACAGAAGCACATGACAAGAAGTAACATACAACATAATTTCCACCCCTGATCACCATTACTCCCACCTTGCATGTAGCCAAGTTCCTCCTTTGTGCTTAGTCATTTTTGAGAGTCTCATCTCACATGATCTTATTATTTGCATCTCCATTAATTTATAATTAATTGCTGTTCGTTATTATAAACATTTGTGAACTGTATACTTATCTTCCTTGACTCTCGTGTGTGAGTGCGCACGTGAGACTGAGAGAGATATATATAACTTTCTTTGAATGTAAGTTAATACTAATAAGTTTATTTTTGTGTTCACTTTAAAGGGACTTCCAATGAATATTTCTCTTCTATAAATTGAGTAGTTGGTGTACATTGTATATTGACTTTATTTGTTGTTGTTATTATGTGAACAGCCACGGTGGTCTAGCGGTTAGAACGCTGGCCTTGTAATCCTGGGGTCTCGGGTTCGAATTTATAACTTGTGTTGGGCAAGGCCGTGGTCTAGGCAACACGGAGTTTTCCTCCGTGGCATCCCAACAATTACTCCATTCACACACAGAAGAAGGCAATGGCAAACCACTTATGGATCATCTGCCAAGAACGTATATGAACAAGTCCCAGTCCGAGAAAAGGATGGAAGAAGGATCCTGTTCATATGGACCTGACCTGTCGTCACTAAATAAATAAAATAAAATAATTATGTGAACAGGAAAAGTGGTTTTTCATTTTGAAAGAATAAAAAATCTTTAAGGGTGTTCAGCAGCAAAGAATTGAAGAGAATATTTGTGACTAAGAGAAATGAATGCAGAATTTAAGAGAATTACATTGAACTCCATAAGATGTACATTTAATGTAGTAGTATGATTAATGAAGGATTATAATATGGTCATCATGATTTAAACAGTAAAACAGATGACTTCGTTTCAAACACTTCATGGTAGAATCAGACATGAATAGTATTTTCGAAATGGATCTTAAGAAACTAGCATGTGAGCATATAAATTGTACTGAACTAATTATGGATTGTGTCCAGTGGTGGTTTTTTTTGATGAACCTACAAGTTCTGCGCACGTGGGATTGGCTGAATAACTGTCAACTCCTGCACCACGGAATTAGCAAATCACTGAATTGTAATTCTGTATTGCAGCCTTTAATGGGTTAGTCTAGTGTTACTCAGACTGTACTTTACAGAACACTGGCAATATATCGAGTAATCTCAAGGGTTCTAAGAGAGAATTTTGTCAAATGGTGGACTGACTCAGTTGTCAAATACCTTTGCTGTTATGGCAATATAGTTAACTTGATACACTGCGTCATTACACTTTTAAGTCACACTGTAACAATTTAGGGAAACAAGGTTATCAGTCATTGTTGTGTGCATTTTTAATGCCCTCAGCATGCATATTTAGGATGTGTGCAGCAGTACTTTATTGAAAACGGTGCAAATTAGAGATGAACTTCACATCTCCCAATACATTTTACCAGTTTTTATAAAGTTAGGACTGGCAGAAGAGTGGTGATGACTGTCATTCATAGTGACATGAAATCTGAGTGTCAGTATATGTGTAACATTATTTGGATGACCAACAACAAACAGTCTGTGTGATGCTGTGTGACTCCAGAGGGTAGCGTACCTAGCGGACGTTCTTACGAAGATACGTGAACAAAATTTTAAGGTGTGACTATCACAGTTATCTTGGCATGTGAACAAATTTATATATAAATAAAATAGAATTTTGGAGGACGTGTACTGGTTGAAAAAAAATGTTTCTGGCTGTTTTCAACCATTGGATGACTTTTCCAATGAACTTGAGAGCTGGATAAGTGATGATTTTCTTTCAGATACAATTGAACGTGTATGAGACCTACAAGTTGCAGTGAACGTTTTCAGTGGTTATGAAACCTTTGTACGTTCTCTGTCACAGAGAAAGGTTTGTTATTAGAAACAGATATAAGAAATATGACACTTCAGCAGGCCGTGGTTTTGAAAGATACATTAATAAACATTCCTCTTGGTAACTTTTGTGTCAGTTTGAAGGAAGATTGTCCACAAATTCCAAGTGTAGCTGTGAAGAAGCTACTTCCATTTCTATGTACATATATATGTGAAACAACATTCCCAAGATAAGATCATGAACAAACTCCACCCTGCAAGGATTATTTTCAAAAGTTTATAATCAGCTATCCAGTACATTACCTGCTTTTACGTAGTGCAAAGGATCTCTGTTACGTTCATAAATCCAACCACTGGAGCCTAACCTGAGTCATTGAATCCATTACATGCCCTTCATGTTTTCTGAGCACAATTCTAATGTGAATTTCTCATATCCTTTGTGCACATTACGTGTCTGACCCATTTTATCCTCCTTGATTTAATCACCCAAACAGTACTAAGTTCTGAAGCTCTTTATTATGCATTTCTTTAGACCACTCTTACATAATCTTCCCAAGGTTCAGATATCTTGTCTGAAAGATAGTGCATTTTACTCATATACAGAAAACATATTGTTTTCCCAGGATCCCCCATCCTCTTCAGGGCACGCTAGCCCAACTACCCGTTCATCACCAGCTCCAACACTGGAAGTACCTGAGAACAACATAACAGACAGTGGTACCAGTGGTCTGCGACCGCGTTCTTCTACAGTGGGCACTGCAGAAGGCGAGACATTGAAACGGGAACTGCAAGAAAAGCAGTCGAATTGCAGCCTTTCTGCCAGCAACTCCCAGCAACAGTTGAATTCCGTCACTCCTCCCAATGGACAGCAGAAGACCAGTCCCATGATGAATATGTGAGTTCCTTTTGTGGTGTTGTCAGTTGGTTGATAGAATTTCTTTTTTAAGTCTGTTCTCAAGTGTTATGTTTATATGGAACTCTTAGCTTATAAACAGTCAAACCTAATGCCTGATGAATTTAAACTACATAAATCTACATTTTGTTAATAAAATTTCTTCCACGTTATCATTAATGTGTATACCGTCATGTTAGTATTCTTCTAGAATTAGAGATGGACATTTACTTTGTTACAAATGTAATGATTGTACTCTCATGACCTGTTTGCAAGAGCCTCTTCTGTGAAAATTGGATAAAACCTTTTCTTTAAAGGATTGTTTTATCGCCACTTCCTCCCTAATCTTAAATGTTTACTGATGTCACTATGCAGGAAATACAGTTATTTATATGTAATATTTGTACAGATGGAGCATCAGCAAAGATACAGTCCGTACTATAACATCTTTCTGAACCCTCATATACAAGACAGATTTTTGTATTCTGAGATCTCTCCATTTCAGTGACAAATATTAACCTTATAATACACAAGATGAAAACTGTAACACAGTTTGGAAAATGAGAGTAATTATGTCGGTGATTCTCATGCTAAATATTAAAGTCTCATTTTCAGATAATAAATATGAAAGGATCAGTAAACAATTTGGGATACAGATCTACAAAGTGTGTGACTGAAATGGATATTTGTGTGATATGACAATTACAAATGCAGTGATGGACATGATTTGTGTAGTACAGGGGTCGTCAACCTTTTTATACCTACAGCCCACTTTTGTATCTTTGTTGATGGTAAAATTTCCTTACCGCCCACCGGTGCCGCACATACTGCCCACCACCATGAAAGAGGTACAGCTCGAAGACTGAATGATGGCCGTTATGCGCACTAAACTCATGCCTTTGATACGGAGCTCATTTGTTGCTCCTTCATCCACGAGTTTACTTCGAGAAGTGCCCGGTGAATTATTATCTATATTCAAAATTTTAGAGATGGAATTCAAAAGTAAATTGCAAAAGCATATTTTAAAAAGTCAAACTCGCGAAGTTGTTAGCAGTGTATTCGTTATATGAAGGAAGAACCAAATTTGTAACAACGGACAAAAACCCACACCGCCCACCATGAAAGCTTGAATCGCCCACTAGTGGGCGGTACGGACCAGGTTGACGACCCCTGGTGTAGTATAATGTCTTCCTCTGATTTATGAGACAATTTGCATATTATGAGAATACATTGCTCTTGTCCTGTGAGGACGAGAATGCTGCAGGAACTGACTAAAACAGAGTTACATTTTGACGGGGTGAGGGGTGATCTGATTGAAGTGTATGTATGTATGTATGAGAATAAGATTGCAAGGGGTTGTAACACATGTCTGGAAAGAGAAATTAACTGTTGCGTGGTCTATAGGTTTGCGTTATGATAAAACATTTGCAAATTCTGAAAGGGGTTAGATTCTTTCTCAGTAAAAAATACAACAGTTTCATAAGTTAGTGGATATTTTAAGCAAAGCTGGAAATTAAAATTTGTTCCTTTGATTATCTATCACCAGAAACTTCATGTTTTTTTAAGCATATTTAGATATTTTTATCTAGTTTTGGCATTCTGTGGTAGAATAAGAGAAGAACAGCTTCTTTCAGAGGACTGTTTGAAATATTCCAAAATTTTTGCAGAATTAACTGTGGGAAAATCTCAAGCATACTGAACAGACAGCACATTGATAGTAGTAACTTACGTGATTTTTATATTCTAAGAATCCAGAAACTGTCAACTAAATCGACATAGAAACAAACGTGCACTAACCCCAATCATTCAATGCTGGAGTTCACTCAAACATCAGTATATCAGATGCTTCGAGAGACATAAATTTAACCTCAAATGTTCTTCAGGACCAAACTATCTTAAGCAAAAACTGTAATAAAGAGTTTCAGGTTGGGGATGGAAGAGTACTTAATGATGAAAACAGAACTAAACTATAATATGTGAATAAAAATTATGAGTATAAAGCCATGAAAAACAGTCTGGCTAGTATAAAGTTTTAAGAATTCGTATATTCTATATTTTTATGACACTTTTAAAGAAGGAAATTGTAACATATTTTGTAATTAATGTGTACATAATGAGAAGTAATAACAGATGAAGAAGTTACAGTTGTATGTTTACTAACTCTGTACCATTACTTAAGTAAAATACATAACTGTAGGTCACCTGAAGATCTTATAAATACAGCAAAATGTGGAGTATCATCTTCATCATGGACGCTACAAACCAGGGTGGGGGTGTTAGCCCCATGCCCAACCCCCCCAACCTGGAAGACCAGGCCTCCGTATTTACATCACCTGGAAGCAAGGTGGTCCAGCTATACCCCCAGAATATCATACAAAAACAAAATAGATCACGTCTGTTGAAATATTTTTGTTAATAGTATTGAAAAATTAAATAATAAATGAATCTAAAAGAATGTGAAATATCTAGGTAATAACATTGTGGGTGTACACTGTCTGAAAATAAGCTTGTCAGTGCGTTTGATTTGTTGATTCAGGAATTGCATAACTGTTATTTCGTAGAGCAATCGCCCACATAAATGTAGGGCAGTAGTTTAACATTTTAGAGACAGACACATGTTTAGGGTTTTAAATTCTGTTATACCTTCAAAAATTTTGCAGTATTTAACAAGCTGAAACATGGGAGATAGGAGAGAATTTTCACAGTGTATTCAACTGAAAACTGTAATTTCTCCAGATTACTTTTACACCAAGCATTGAAACAAAACATTGATTTTGTGAACAGATTCCTGAAAGTTGGTCACACCTCAAAGACATCACCAACACAGGAGCTGAATCAGGATGTGGCAAGGCAATCTGGATCATGGCGCCAAGCCATCTTCAATCGG